CAAGGAAGAAGCTTATTTCAACATTAAAGAAAATTAAAGAAATTTCATAAAAACGCAATACGAAGTGAAGATCAATTCAGCCGGTCTAAAATATTATTGACGCTACATGTTGATAAAATATCGCGCAAATCATCAAAGATAAAAGATATGGTATTTTGCAGATTCGAAGTGGTCGCTCATTACTTGGGACTAACTCGAGAGTACATTCCTATGACTGGCAAGAAGATCCACTGGCCGGGAGGCAGGGAAGGACCGCCGCCTGATATCCCGGAGTGCGGTTTTTTAGGAAACGATCCGTATTGCACGTCGAGGAGAGAAGCTTACACGTTTGTGGCTTACACGGGCATAGCTCTCGCTGTGTTTCTGCTCGCTGCGATTACAGCCGCGTGTCTTTTATACAGGTACGCACGACGCGATTTATCGAATCGTACACTTGGTCCGAGTTTTGTATAGCACAAACAGTAAGCATGTAAAATATACATAAAATAAAAGAAATGAAAAATATCAGTGGTAAAAGCACTGGCATAACATCATATGCCTCGGTGGTCGAATCGGTTGAGACGCCTAGAGTGTAGGAAAGTCCAGGTTCAAATCCTGGCTGAGGTAATATTTTTCGCAATAAATTTCCTGTATCATTAAAATTGCAGATACGGTCAGTAAAAATCTCTGATGTCGCTAATTACTGCTGGCGACTTATAAGAATATTCTCATTAGTTAACAAAATACATGTTTCAACGAAGATATAAAAATTTCTACAAATTTCTATTTCAAGTCAATCTTTTGTAGTTATTTATAGAAATTTTTTCCCCTAGGGTCGCTAGACTTGTCAGAGCGTGTTTTAATATAGAGTTGTACTGACACACGACAAAATGTTTTGCACAGGCATTTACGGTTGTCCGCTGATCTCAATAACATGTCCTGGCGCGTAAGACCCGAGGAGTTGCTCCTGGAAGTTGGGAAACAGTTCTCGTCGAAGATCAATCTGCACCAAGCGATGTCCGACGCAAATGTGAGCGACAAATTACGATTGCGCGCAACGTGAATGGAGAGCGACGAGAGTTTAATTAATTTCATTTATTATTTAATCGTAGAATTACGGATTGGAACAGAGAATACGTCGCGGTTCGCAGACCAGTTGCGATTCCCTGCCGCCTACGACGGTCTTCACCACCATCGGGATATACAAGGGCGAGAGAGTGGCCATCAAGAAGATCACGAAGAAGAAAGTGGTCGACGTGACGAAGAAGCTGCTCTGGGAAATCAAGCAGGTCAGGGACGTTACGTCGGAGAACACCGTGAGGTACGTGTCTTTCAGTAGTAGAAGATTCCCATACAACACCCATGTCTAAAAGACATCTGTCAGTCTTACAACGCAGCTTCAAATATGAATCCCCATTATTAAAATTATTTAAACACTAACATCCTGTCTTGGCTCTTGTATCTTTTATTCCTTCGAATTGTGATTTGACATCAGAGCCTTATGAATTTTATAGCATAAAGTCTTTAACACCGTGCTATCGTTGGCGCAACTTTAAACTACTGCGGTTTATTAATAAATTGACCTGCTCGCTAGATTTGTCGGAGCGTGCCTCTGTTCGCCATTGCCAACTGTTTTAATCCTTACCGAATACTGCCCCCGAGGATCGTTGAAGGATGTCCTGGAAAACGAAGCGATTAAGCTGGATTGGAACTTTCGGATGTCCTTGATCCACGACATCGTCAAGGTAGAGACAGGTGCAGAAGTTGTGCTTCTCTTAAGTTCTTAAAAACGTCTCGATACGTTTAGCTGTTTTTGTATGACTCGATTGTATCTATTGGTACAATGTTAATTATTGGTACGTCACACCACAGATAGCACACATAGTTCTATGAATATTTTCGTCGAAATCAGTGATTATACCATATTGTAAGATCCGACGCTACCGCGCGATCAGCTGATCCGAATAGAGCGATAGCGACAATGCTCAGCCGCGAGCGATAGATCAGCGCGCACGTGCGACCCGAGTCGAGCCAAGCGTTCGATCGCCGATCGAAGAAGACAAACACCCGTTCCCATAGCGAAAAGATTAAGACGTGTTGCCGAGAGCTTTTTTCAGTGTTAGAGCCAGTGTAGAATAAATATTTTCTTAAACTAAACAATATATGGTTAACACGCCAATGTGGGTCACTTAAGGCAAGATGTAGGTAGCCCAACTTGCAAATCTTAAATCTTTCTGAAAATCGTGAATCTATATACCGTTTCTTTCCACATTAGTACTACGCGTCGATTTCTTTTCCGGACATAACGCAGTTTATCATACACGTGGAAATATTGTCGTCAGCGGATTCACGTATTCGATTCGATGATTATTTTTCAAATGCAATTCGCATTTTTCTGATGCTATATTTTAGCATTCAATCCCCACCTCCCCCCATTTTCCCCGTCCTGTAAATTAATTTTATTGCGAAAAATATTACCCCAACCAGGATTCGAACCTGGGACCTCCCTGCAATCCGTGACGGGCGTCTTAGCCAGCTCGACCACCGGGGCTGTATTCCAAATATTCTTGAAGAATATTCTTACAATATTCATAGGAATGTCTTGTGCTATCTGGGACATTTAAGCTTGACGTGTAAGCGATAAAGAGATTTCTTCCTTACAGGGTATGTCCTATCTTCATGCCAGCGAGGTTTCCACTCATGGAAAGTTACATTCGTGTAATTGTCTAATCGATGGTCGCTTTGTACTAAAAATCTCGGACTTCGGCCTCAAGACTCTCACCACGCCCTCCGACTTGATTATGGACGAGAGCTATTACACCAGTGAGTTGTAACAGGAGACAATTGAAAAGCCATCAATGCCTCACTTTTACTTTGCAGAATTACTTTGGATCTCCCCGGAACTCTTGCCAGTAACGGTAACGCCCGGTAGCGCGGCGACGCAGAAGGGCGACGTTTACAGCTTCGCAATTATCCTGGAGGAGATAGTGGTTCGCGGTGGTCCGTACGAGGTAGCCAGGACTATTATGACGGCGCAAGAGGTGCGATCAGTTTCATCCCTCTATTAATTCTAATTTTAGCGCGATTTCTTTATCACAACGATGTCTTTGCTGCAAAGATCGTGAACAGGGTGTCAGCGTCGGAAAATCCCCCCCTGAGACCGGAAGTCACGCCGAAGGATTGTCCGCCGGACTTGCTGTCGTTGATGGAAAGATGCTGGCACGAAGTACCTGAGGAACGGCCCAGCTTCCACGCGATTCGCGGCACGATACGAGGAATCATGAGGTACTCCCATCTTTAATCCGGGAATATATTTTCGACTTTTGTGAACTGCGCACCGGTACGGATTGTCGGTTGTACGCAGCACTATCGAAACGCGATTTTTAAGTATCCCCGTTCCCTTCCCTCCACCCTGTGTTAAAAACATCGCCATCCATGGTCGATTAGAAGCTTAATCGTTATATAAATAAATATTACACAAAGTATAAAATATAAGTAGGCTACAAAAGTTGCGGCCGCATTTTAGAGCATATTGCGAGAATTTAATGGACGATTTGCTACGGCGGATGGAGCAATACGCCAATAATCTGGAGGCTCTCGTCGAGGAGAAGACCGAGCAGTTGAGCTTGGAAAAGCGTCGCAGCGAGGAACTGCTGTATCAAGTGCTTCCGAGGTATCGGAATCGTTAACCGTCGCTTTGCCGAGCTCTTTGGCGTTTGCGCCCATTTTTTAACAGAGCGAATTTTTAAAGGCAGGTCGCCGGTCAGCTGATGGCCGGGGAGATAGTGCAGCCGGAGCAGTTCGAATGCGTCACCATCTACTTCAGCGATATCGTCGGTTTCACGGCTCTATGCGCGCAAAGCACGCCTATGGAAGTCGTCGACTTTCTGAACGACTTGTACAGTACCTTTGACAGTATTATCGGATTCTACGACGTTTACAAGGTAGACGTGTAACAAAGTAGACTAAGCGCGTAAATAATTAATTCGTTCGAGGAGAAAGAAGTAGCGCCAGAGTAGTGACTAATTCTAATTAATAACGGACTCTGGGCAGATTTGGGGAAAGTAAATTATCTTGAGGCCGATTCGCAGGTGGAAACTATAGGAGACGCGTATATGGTAGCGTCTGGCCTACCGGAGAGAAACGGCGACGAACACGCGAGAGAGATTGGACTGATGGCCCTGGCGATATTGGATGCCGTCAGGTCGTTCACCATAATGCACAAGCAAAACACTCAGCTGAGCGTGCGGATCGGCGTGCACAGCGGTCCGGTTTGCGCCGGGGTGGTGGGTCAAAAGATGCCGCACTATTGTCTCTTCGGCGACACCGTGAACACCGCGTCTCGAATGGAATCCTCCGGTCTTCGTAAGAAACAAATCCTGTATTCGAGAGTGATAATGACAATTGAGAGAGAAAACTCACAAAAATCTAGAGCCTTAAACATTGAATTTCCGTTACTTGAATTCTACATAGCGGGATAAAAATCAAGATTAAGTAACTCTACTTAATTTGTGTCTCGCAGCTTTGAGAATACACGTCTCCGAGGCGACGAAGAGTATCTTGGACAAGTTCGGGACGTTCGATCTCGAGCTTAGAGGGGAGGTGGAGTTGAAGGGAAAGGGCAGGGTGACGTCTTACTGGTTGACCGGCTGCTCGGAGCCCAACTCCAGGTTGGCCGTGCCAAAGTATCGCAGGCTCAGTTGCAGCCAACTCGAGAATAATTTGAATCCACTGATCTTTCCGCCGAACAATACAAACGGTCCGAAAACGAGCAACAATACCTTCATCAACTTGGCGGAATTATAATGATTAACATCTAGCTCTTTAGGGTACGGCAATCTCGTAGGCTGCAACGGGAAGTTTCTAATGTGCCACACACGCGTCACTTGAGATATAAAGATGTGCGCAGAAATTAGGGGATCCGTAAGAATTACCGTAAAAACGTCGTTCTTCGGTGTGCAAAAACAACTTAACGCTACATCAATGTGAATTGGATGTATAATAAAATAGTTTTAGTCTTATTACAATTACAACTTTTATTCGGAATTTTACATCGATAGCGTTTTATTCATTTAAATAAAAGAAGAAACGATAGGCTCTTCGTGGACAGGGGTATGTGTGTATTAAATTAATATTATCTAAGCGATACTGATCATTTAGCTTGACCTTGGGGGTACAAGCACATTGCACAATTGGTACAATAATACAATAATTTATCATCTAACAATAATCTACATAAACTACTGTCTAGTCTTTAGCTTCTTTTTTTTCCTGTTTTTTAATGTAAAAGTTTGATGTAAAAGAGAAATATAATTCAACCTAATTTTTCCAATACTTTTATAGTATCGTGCTCCTTGCGGAGACAGATGTCGCGTCGTATTAATTTTATACATATGTATCTCGGTCAACATGTACTTTTACACATTACAATGATATCAGCTTCTCCTTCTCTTTTCGTTAGCGTTATCATTACCATGATCAATATCGCTACTGTAAACGATTATAAATCTCTGTGATCTCTATACTTTTATTTGTCATTACATCTAGAAGGTCACGTCGATCGACTCCATTTGTGACAAAATCTTGACAATAGATATTATCGTTGTAAGCTACTTAGACGCCAGGAACATTATTAGTCTGCAAACGAAAAATTACACGTTGTACATATGAGTTACACTCATCGTGTATTATATTGTAATAAAGTAACTGCAGTAGCTCGATCGCGTTCTAAGATCGGTCCTTTACCTAAAACTGATGGCCTTAGCAGCGAGAAGTCTATTGCACTCCGCCGTGTCCGGTAGCGGCAAAGTAAAATACGGACTCTCGTTTTCCTGCTCGGTGAACTCGAATCTGTGAATTCTCGGGTGGACTTTCATATCGCCAAACGGGCCTTTCAAGATCAAGTAATAAACTGGTAGCGGATAAGTGGTTTTTGTCTTTAGTATCAGCTACGAAACATACATTTTCATACTTAGATCGCAGTGTGCGTGTGTGTGCGCGCATCGTATTTTATATTTCAATAATCTTTACTCTTAACTCGCGTGTGCACGCGCACGTATACGAATGCATGTTGCTTAAAGCTCTTTCTGAAATTATTAAGACATACGGTTTTTCGTACTTGGTAAGTTATGTCTCGCTCTGAACTTTGAGTAGGATCGCGTTGATTACTGTTGATCCTGGCCTTGACCACCCATTGGTTGTTGAAAGCACCAAATCGTGAGGTTTCGTAAAATAGTTTATGAATAAACTCGTCAGTACGATACGGCTTCATCTGTAAGTCTACAAATGATAAAATTTTACAGATAATCGGTAGATCCTTCGAACGTCGTCTGTAGCTATGAAAGGAAGAGAAGATACGATAAAGAGGCAAGTCAAGTGAGCTAAAGTTAACGTCGTGACCCAAAAGAGTTATTTATACGATTGTAATCTCCGTTGCTGCGAGGAAAAGAAACATTTTCTCTCTAGTAGACTACAGATTATTTCAATATGTCTGCCTAACGCTTATAATAACGCTTAACAATTGATACAGACCGTTGAACGTGATTTTCTCGTAGGACAAAAGATCAAAGACATTGTCATAGAGCCTACGTTCTTCCAAGGTGCGGGCGTCAATCTCGCGCAAAGCCTCCATCACGTCCGCGCCCGTACGATGAGGATGAGCGCAGTGGCCCTCGTGCTCCGGGATCTCGTGATTCGGGCCTCGCCACGGACAACCGATTCTACTATATTTGCAACTAGATATCCTGTACAAGTAATTAGATATTGGATGAGCACACGCATACAGAAGTACAGGTCGCGTAGCAAGGAGAGCATGGCGTAAAAAACTTTACATAGGACATATATGTTTCTAATTCGCGGGGCGCGTGTTAAATTTTTGCAAGACTTTAGGGACGTTATGTTTGTGTGCGCATAAATAATTGCCTTCTACTACTACTCGCGCGGTCCACCTGTAATTACATTGCAGAGAGATCAATTGCATTAGTCAGATGTTGAACGAGAAAACCGGAAGCGGCGCGAGATTGCAAGTTTTTGCCTTACGGATTTACCTTTCCTCGCACATAGCCTCCTCGTGGTGCTCTAAGGAATTTCGCGGGAACTCCTTCGCGCAATATTGACATTCGGCGGGTAACTCGGACACGGCTTTTTCAACTGCCAGATTTCGTGACGCGGTGGTTTTGCTGATTTCGATTCTGCAGTTGGGACACGTTGCCATCTCGTCCCGCAGCCTGGCATCTGCGAGGACATGAGTGAAGCAACCAGCACACATCAAGTGTCCATTAGCACACTGTGAACATCATTGCAGCATGTATTATTAACGTTCTTGCGTCTCGTTAAACTTTCGTTCATTTCTCTTTTTCTCATACAAGAAGACTAAACACCTAGCTCCCGTGCGTTACACGTTTTACAAATGAATGCATTATTCAAGACGTGCGCGCAACTCTCTAAAAAAAAAAAATTACAAATTTTAACGGCTCCTCGCGGCAAACGGTAGCCGACGTTGTAAAAATTTTATGTTGACAACTAAGATACGAGTCCCTTTTCTCCCCGTCTTATTGCAACGTTTCGTTACGCGTAGCTTCCGTTCCTTGCTTCGCATTGTTCGTTCGCGCGAGCACACACTACGGAACCCCCGGCATCGCAAATAGAACCCAAATAGAACGAAAAAATTAATGCCATGTATATTACCATCACTTTGGCGTTTAAACCTGAAACACAAAATCGTACGGATACTCATTAATCACAGATGCACTTGTCGAGATTGTTCTGTTTTATTAATTAAAACTAACGCGAGTGGTCTCTAGAGGAGTCACTTTTAACGGTGCCAAAACAGCATATCGATGACAGACGGGAAGAGACGGGGATGATGACAGGTGGGACAAGTGAAAAGGGGGTGTTTTATGCGAAATAACTAACTAATAACCTTTAAGAATATTTATTTTTGTCTTCTTGCACCATACAGTTTATACAGATCATTTCTCTCTTGTCTCTTTTGCTTCTGTATATTCGCTTTCTCTCCCTCACTCTCACTCTCTCGCTGTTGACTATAACTCGTGGGCAATCGGTGTCGCATTAATCTAACAATAAGGCCTTTTATATTCTCATTGTGCTCCGAATATTGTCCCTGCCACTCGTTAGTCTCTTACAGTAAAACATAGCGTTTCGTAAGGTCCAAGTATCATTATTATATTATACACTAAGCAACTACGGAGATCTAGGATCTTAAGTACTTGACTATTTTATCTATAACCGATTTAATAGAGAGCTACTAAGTGAACACCGGGCCTCCGGGGAGCCCGCTACTCCACGGAAACGGACATTCCGTTCTTCATAAAAATGGGTTCTGTGTTAAAAGAAGAGGAAGGAGGGGCAGTGTAGCGGGACGTATTGTGGAGAGTTACAAACTGAAACAATATACAATGGATAAGTCACAAACGAAAGCGTCTACGTGCGTCCTGCACTCGTGAGTTTACACGCATCGTCCGTTTCTCGTTTCTTCCTTCCTTTTAACATTAAGAAGCATCAGAGTAGGCACAGATACAACCTCTCGCGTGCTGTGTTACAATAGTTATTATAAATCCCTTCACGCCGTGCATCTCTCGCGCGTCAGTAACTCTAAAGGGAAGGCGTGTATCGAGATGAAAGATTAACGGGACCGACGGGGGGCGGGGAAGGGGGGGAGGGAGAGGTTTTTCTTTTTTCCTGGAGAACATCTACAATCAGCTTCACCGCGCGACCCCTCTTGCGATCAACGTTCTAAAAGAGCTATGGGTAGCTGCATGCACACACACAAGTCCAGAATGCTGCCTTACATTCTGTGTCTGGGGATGTTCTGAGGTGTTTTGCTTATATATATATATCTCTCTCTCTGCAGCGGTTGAAGCGACACCGCGCGGTTATGACAAAGGGCCAAGTGTAAACAGCTGCGAAAGTGTTACCGGGTGCGCACGTGTAGGAAATTCCGCGTGTAACTTTTTACGTAGCATCGGGATGGAGTGCTCCTTTCCTGAGGAGTCCACGATGCCAGAGCCTGGTCCAGGTCCCAGTTTCGAGAAGTGCGTAGCCAATCAACCTGCGGCCGTTCCATAAAGGTTGCAAGTTGACTGGCTACGCATTTCGCGAAACTGAAACTTGGACCAGGTATCTGGCGTTGTGGACGCGGGCCTTTCGGGTCAGTTTCGCAAACATCGGCTAACTGCTGACCGAAGGTTAATTGAGTCTCCGTCTCTTCTCAAGTAGTAAGATGGAAAAAGATAGGGAGTCGACTGAACTCTGATTAACGGTTAACCGACGTTTGTGAAACGGGCCCTTCGGGCCTCCCTCACCGGTCTCGGTTAGATTAACCGACGGTTAAAATTCGCAGGATGCCAACGGGAAAGTAGAGGCGAAGGATAATCGTGTCCATTGGAGAATCCGTTGGCCACTCCGCAAACTTTAACCGTCGGTTAATCTAACCGAGGTCGGCGAAAGAGGCCCTCGGGGTAAATCGGATGTCCGGTCTCTCGTGGCAAAGATTGTGCGCACGCACGCGTCTCACACTTTCAATATATCAAGTCGATCAAGTGAGTTTATTTTGCAAAGGGAAGTTGCTCCCTCTCTCTCTCTCTCTCTCTCTCTCTCTCTCTCTCTCTCTCTCTCTCTCTCTCTCTCTCTCTCTCTCTCTCTCTCGTGTATCATACCAGTTCTTGTCCACGCAGAGATCCGCCGATGGACACCGCCACGGCGAAACACATTATCTTCTCTAGTGTAAGGAAAAAAATATAAGTCACCTACCTGCGGAAAACTTAACATGTCTCGTCTTGTGTCTCAACGGACAAACTCATTATTCGACCTGTGTACGTAAAGCTCAGTTTATGAGAAGGGGGCGGGGGGGCTATACGATTATTCTTACTATCTACTACTATGTCTCTCGTTTTTTCTTTTCGGCGTATGCATTTTGAACATTATTGCAGGTGGAAGGGAGAAACGTGAGAGGAGAGGTCTGGTGCTGAGATGCACACGTTGCATCACGACTCGCATCTGGGACCCGATTCTCGAAATCATTCCAAGAAGAAACGTATACGATCATTCTGCTCTGACAGAAAAGTTGAAAGTCGATTGGTTGAAGCCACGCGAATAGCCAATCAACTTGCAACTTTTCTGTGAGAGCAGAATTTTCGCATACGTTTCTCCTTCGAATAAATTCAAGAGTCGAGCCCCTGGACTAGTGATGGGCGATTTTCACTCGATGCATCGATGCTCGATCCTCTTTTTTACTGCAACATCGATTATTGCATCGATATTTTGAAATGCGATTAATCGCTGCATCGATAGTTTTCTTTTTACTCGAAGTTACTAAGGTCCAGTTTCACAAACGTCGGTTAACTGTTAACCAGAGTTCAGTCGACTTCCTATCTTTCTCTATCTTGTTATCCAAGAAGAGACAGAGGATCAATTAACCATGGGTTAGCGGTTAAACGACGTTTGTGAAACTGGCCCTAACTGGCTACTTTATTTTAGGGTCTTTTTCACCAACCCCGGTTACTGATCTCACTCATGTACGCTACGGTGTCTCTTAAATTATTAGTAGAATTATACAAGTGTGCTCGTGCTACGTAAACTTTCTGCGCTTAGATTCTTTGTTCTTCTTCTAGCCACCGCTTCAGTATGAATCTATGTTTTCAAATAAGGAAAAGTCTACAGAATTTATGCAATACAAACCGCATATTTATAAGATAAATATGAAGAGTCTATTATAAATTTCATATTAGATAGAAGAAATTGAAGAACATTGATTATTATCCATGTTTTTCACTAATAATCGATTAGCAAAAATCGTTATTTTTGGTTATCGATTACTTCTGCATCGATTCCTTTTTCCAACATCACCCATCTCTAATCTGGACTGTCGTAGAGGCCTGTGCTCACGACGCTAGAACTTGGCCCGAGTCCCAGTTTCGAGAGATGCGTAGCCAATCAACTTGCATCTAATCTGTAAAAGCTGCAAGTTGATTGGCTACGCATCTCTCGAAACTAGGACTCGGGCCAAGTTGTAGCGTCGTGGACGCGAGCCTTAACAAAATAGAAGAAAAAAAAAGCAATATATATATGCAACTATTGAACAGAGGCGATTCGTTAGTCCCGCACCTAGGTCGCGAGGCCTCCGACAGACTTGTCGCAGCGAAAGAAGCAGAAGAAGAAGGAGAAGCGAAAGATGGAAAACGGAGAGAGAAAGAGAAAGAACTTTCGGTGGAGGGATAAAGTTGGCGGAGGTGAAGATGCGATCCGCCGCGAGCGGAGCAGGGCAAATCCCGTGCGTTTACGGGTGGCGTGTGCGGAAAAAACCGTCCTTCTCCCTGAATTAAAGGCGAGCGTGCGTTTCCGCAACAGATGTCCGGCGGCATTCGAAGGTCGTCGGCGCGGACGCGAACGCGCCTCCCGGGGCTCACGTTCCACTTGACTCTCGCGACGCCCGCCGACGTCATCCCGTCCTCGTCTCTCACCGAGGGTTAAACGAAGACAGGACGACGTCCGCGAGCGTCGTCTAAAACTCGGGGGAGGCCTCGGAGTCGCGAACAGGTCGATGGACTGCCATCGCGGGACGGGGGAGGGGGAGCGGGGTCGCCGCACGTCGCGTCTCGATTCGCGGGCTATCCCGGACGTCGCGAATTCGAGGGAGGACGGGCCAGTTTCTATTTATCTCGCCGATAACGAGAGCTGCTCGTTACGCCAGGCATACACAGGCCTCACCGCGTTAGGAGGGCGGAGAAGAAGGTGGAAGCGGCGGCAGGGGGAGGAGGAGGTGGTGGAGAAGGAGGTGGGGAAGGGGGGGCCGACCTACCTGATAGACGGCCGCGCGAGGCAGATCGAGGCATACTGCGCAGCAGAGGATGCCGCCCAGACGGTGCTCCAACTTCTGCTCGGTCTTCGCGGCGTCGTCGGCGCGCGCCGTCCGGCGCCGCTTCTTGTCGGGCTCGTGGAAGTCCTCGGGCTTGTCGTGCTCCTCGCGCAACGGGGCCGCGACGGCCGCCGCCGTCGCGGCTACCTGCTCCGCGACACCGCTCGACGATGCGGGCTCGTTGCTCGGGTCCGCCATGTTGCTTGTTTTGGAGTTTTCCCCTGAACGAACGCGAGAAATGCGCAGATGTAAAGAGACGCCGTTCCTCCACCTCTCTCTCTCTCTCTTTCTCTCTCGCTCTCTCTCCCTCCCTCCCTCCCGCCCACCCCCGCGCGCGACCTCCCGCTCTCTTTCTCTCTCGTTCGCTCGCTCGCTGTCACTCGCCCTGACCTGACGTAATGCAACGCGCGCACTGGTGTCCCC